GAGGCTGATGCAGAAGTATTGTCTGAGCCCAGGAGGTCAAGACTGTGGTGAGCTATAATTATGCCACTGCACTCCAGCCCAGCCTGGGTGACAGAGTGAGACTCTGACTCAATAAATAAATAAATAAAGTATGGAGGCAAGAGGATGGCCTGAGCCCACAGGTTCGAGATCAGCCTGGGCAATATGGCAAGACCTTGTCTCTACAATAAATCAAAAATTAGCCGGGCATGGTAGCATGCGACTGTAGTTCCAGCTGCTTGGAAGACTGAGGTGGAAGGATCGCCAGAGACCAGCAGGTTGACTCTGGGGTGGCCGTCAGTGTGCCAGCCACTTCACTCCAGCCTGGGCAACAGAGTGAGACTCCAACTAAAAAAAAAAAGACCTGAAGGAGGGAGGGAAGTAGGCATGCAGAATCTGGGCACAGAGAATTCCATGCAGAAGGACAGCAAGTGCAAAGAAGAGGAGGGGAGAGATGTGATCTGAGAGGCTGGGCTGGGGAGGGGGGATCCTGGGGGGCCTGTAGCCCTTTTGGTGACTTTGGATTGTCCTCCCCCTGAGATGGGAGTCTTTGGAGGATTTTGTCAGAGGAGTGATCTGACTTATTTTACTTTTTTTTTTTTTGAGTTGGAGTCTCACTGTGTGGCCCAGATTGGAGTGCAGTGGCCGCTCCCGGCCACCGCAGCCTCGACCTGCTGGGCTCTGGCGATCCTTCCGCCTCAGCCTTCCAAGTAGGCGGAATTACAGGCATGCGCTACCACGTCTGGTGGATTTTTTGATTTATTGTAGAGATGAGGTCTTGCTGCCCAGGCGGGTCTCGAACCCGTGGGCTCAGGCAATCCACTCACCTCAACCTCCCAAAGGCGCGGGATTACAGGCTGAGCCACCGAGGCTGGCTTTATTTTACTTTTTATTTATTTATTTGAGTTGGAGTCTCATCCTGTCAGAACTGGAGCCTCACTCTGTCACCCAGGCTGGAGTGCAGTGGCATACGCATGGCCACTGCAGCCTTGACCTGCTGGGCTCAGGCGATCCTTCCTCCTCAGTCTTCCAAGTAGCTGGAACTACAGGTGCATACCACCACACCCGGCTAATTTTTTTATTTATTGTAGAGATGAGGTCTCTCCAAATTGCCCAGGCTGGTCTTGAACCCCTAGGCTCAGGCAATCTTCTCACCTCTGCCTCCCAAAGTGCCGGGATTACAGACGTGAAACACCATGCCCAGCAATCAGACTTATTTATAACAGAATCATCCTGGCTACTATGTTGGGAAAAGACCACAGAACAAAGATTGGGAGCAGGGAGTCTTTGATGAGGGCCGATGGGGGCTCTGACCAAGGTGATGGAAGTGGAGACGGTGAGAGGATGTGGAAAGTTTTAAAGATGAAGCCAAAAGGTTTTGCTGAGAGATTAGATGTGAGGTATGAGGTAAGGAAGGAGTTTACTCCAAGGCCTGAGAAGCTGAAAAATGGGATTGCCCTTAACTGAGATGAGGAAAATGGGAGAGGAGTAGACACAGGTGTCAAGTAGGGAGTTGCATGAGCGAAACTGGACCTCAAGGGAGAGGTCTGGGCTGTAGACACAAATTTGGTTGTCATCAGCAGAGTGATGGTATTTAAAGCTGTGAGTCTGGATGAGGTCACCGAAGGAGTGTGTGTGGACAGAAAAGAGGTGACGGCCTCTACTGAGCCCTGGGGCTCTCCAACCATGAGACGTGAGGAAGTTCAGGCGGGGTCAGCAGAGAGGGCTGAGAAGGCACAGCCAGCAAATAGAAGGAGAGCCAGGAGAGTGTGTTGTCTCCAAGGCTGAGTGAGGAGTGGTTCAGGAGCACCCAGGGATCAACTGTGACAAATGCAGCCAATGAGTCAAGTAAGATGAGGGCTGGGAAACTGCCTACTGGATTTAGCAGCGTGGAGGTCATTGGTGTCCTTGAGAACAATGTTGCAGAGCAAAGAGGATGAGGGCCTGGCCAAAGAGGGCTCTTCCAACAGTCTTCAGGGCAGGTGCTGCTTACTGAGTCCCTGCCAGGTCCCAGAGATGATGTGCCTATTCCCCGTCTGTACCAACAACTCCATGAGGGAACTGTGGTTCAGACAGATTCGGGGTCAGCCCAAGGTCCTACCTAGAGCTGGATTCCCACTCAGGACTGTCTGCCTTTGAAGCCTGTGACCTTCCTGCTCCACTGCATCTGGTGCCCGGATGTAGGTTTCTTCCAGGCCTTGCTCCTCTTCCCTTCCCTCCTCCCAGCTTCCCTTCACATGACTAGTCCGGACCTAGCTGAGGATTCACTGTCTTGTCTGGTGGGTGTGATTTGCCTAGGTATAGACAAACACCCGCCTACTAGTTTTCCTTGCAACACCTGCAGCACGCACAGGTGCTTAGAGAATGGCAATAAACAAGCCTCACCCTCAGCCTTCAAGTCTAGCACTTAGACACCCAGGCTTAAGCTTCAGACAGTCCTGGGTTCAAATTCCGACTCTGCCACTTACTAGTTTAATGACCATCACATAGTAGGTCAAGCCTTGATGACCTCATTTGTGTAATGGGGATACAAATCTCCACCTCTCAGAGTTGTGAGGATGCAGGATACATTGCTCAGCTAGTGAGTAGTAAGCACTCACTAAATGGTTGCCACTCGTTTTTTTTGGGGTTTTTTTTTTGAGTCGGAGTCTCACTCTGTCGCCCAGACTGGAGTGCAGTGGCCGCTCCCGGCCACCGCAGCCTCGACCTGCTGGGCTCTGGCGATCCTTCCGCCTCAGCCTTCCGAGTAGCCGGAATTACAGGCGTGTGCTACCACGCCCGGCTGATTTTTTTGATTTATTGTAGAGATGAGGTCTCGCTGCCCAGGTGGGTCTCGAACCCGCGGGCTCAGGCAATCCACTCACCTCAGCCTCCCAAAGGCACCGGATTACAGGCTGAGCCACCGAGCCCGGCCGTTTTTTTTTTTTTTATCACTGAAGTTGGTAAAGGGGTTTGCAGCTGACTGGAAAGTAGATTGCCAGTGACAGGCAGCTATCTTGCGCTGGTATGGGAAGAGCTAGGGGACTGTTATGGGGCATAGGGGCTGGCAGAGTTGAAGTGGTTGCAGGGAGACAGGACCTCGGCTGGGGCTCTTGGCTAGAGCCCAGGACACTAGAAGGAAAGAAATAAGGGAGAAATAGTGTAAGCCTCAGATAATGTCATTGTATAACACCTGTTCCCCCATACCGCCTTCAACAAGGCAGGAGGGCGTAACGAGTAAGGGTGTAAGGGTAAGGGTTGTGGTGACAGCCGCTGGGTTCAAGTCCAGGCTCCTTTACTTACCAGCTGAGTGACTTCAAATTACTTCACGTCACCTTTTTTTGCTTTACTCTCTCCATCTGTATAAAAGTGATATTTATAGCACCTCCTTCATAAATATTGTCAGTGAGGATGAAAACTAATATGTGTAAAAATGCTCTCACTACATAGATAATGTCAATGGTTATTATTATAACTAACACTCATCACAATACTGTGAGGTAGGGAATTATCCGCATTTCATAGAAGAGGAGCTGTGCACAGAGCGGGTCTATAACTGGTCCAAGGTCACAAAGTTAATTAGTAGGAAAGCCAGCATTCATATTCAAATAGTCTGACTTCAAAACCCAAACCCACAGAATTCTCATCTCCCTGAAGAAGGTACTTAGAATCCCAAAGGTGACTCCTTGGGGTTGCCCCCTCCCTGCACACGTGACATCCTGAGACAGCCAGAATTCCCAGAACAGAGACCCTCATTTGGTGGAGGCACCTGGTAAGAGTGAAATATGCTTCCTTAGATGCATCTTCCTGCCAGCCCTGGTCCTGCTCCCTAAGCCCAGGTTGGAGGCTGCATTCCCACTGATCTCATTAGAGCCTGCACAGTAGCAGCAGATGGCACCAGGGTCCACATGTAGACGTTTCTCTTGAGAGGACTGGAGGCTTCATGAGCCCAACAGGGAAAGGGAGAGAAGTACCGTCTGCTGGCACATGATTTGCACCAGGCACTTGGCTGACATCCCTCCTAGCTTGGGCTCATCATCCCTGTTTTACAGATGTCAAAACTGAGGCTGAGTGAGGTTGAATGGCTTTGTCCAAGTTTACCTGCTGGGGAAGCAAGCCCTCCCTTCCTGTCTTGGGTGGTGAAATCAGAACTCAGTCTTCATCTGACTGACTCCGAAGCCTGTCTTTCAGCTGCCCCAAGAGTACATGAGCATGTCCATGTGTATAAACAAAAGTGTGCACGTGTATATATGCTAACTTATGTGGCTTTCTTACTCGCCACATGGGTGTCTTTTATAGGGTTCCTGGAATATTCGTGTCTCAGAAGAAATCTGGGTCTGACCAGGAAAAAAAAGGGTTACAGAGTGGACATAGCTAGTGGCCAATCCCAGTGGGGATCTTAGCAACAATCACCCCACTTGAGCCCATGATTATGTCCTGCTCTTGGTCAGTCCCTTTGTGAACAGGCTTTGGGTTGAGCACTGTGACCCAGAAGTAAAACAGAAAGGAGAGGAAGGCAGACATGGAAACAAATAATTACCTTTTGGTGTACCAATCAGTGCTATACATCTGTGAGCCTTTCCAACAGACCCTGCTCCTGGTTGCCCCTTTGCCTACAATCTTCTCTGCTGAACCTCTCCTCCTTGCTTTGCCAATTCCACCTCATCCTTTAAATACCAGCCTGGTTATTTATTTATTTTTTTTTTTTGAGTTGGAGTCTCACTCTGTCGCCCAGATTGGAGTGCAGTGGCCACTCCCGGCCACCGCAGCCACGACCTGCTGTGCTCTGGCGATCCTTCCGCCTCAGCCTTCCAAGTAGCTGGAACTACAGGCGCACGCTACCATGCCCGGCTGATTTTTGATTTATTGTAGATGAGGTCTTGCCAAGTTGCCCAGGCGGGTCACGAACCTGCGGGCTCAGACAATCCACTTACCTCAGCCTCCCAAGGTGCGGGATTACAGGCTGAGCCACCGAGCCCGGCTTGGTTGTTATTTCTTCAGGAAGCCCCCCAGGTGTAGGTTAACCATCTCTGCCATTTTGGTGCCCCCAGACATGGTATTTATCTCTATTATAATTGCCCAGCTACTTATCTGTCTGCTCTGCTACAGAGTGAGCTCCACAGAGGCAGGGATCATGACTATTTTCTCACCGTTATATTATAAGTATCGGGATCAGGGCCTAGTACATAGAAAGAACTCAATAAACACACATGAATGAATGAATAAGTCAGTTGAGCAAGGGAGACAGCCATACTTTGAAATGATGGCACAGACATACAACCTGACTCTCTCTCCTCTCTTGTGTTGGTCTTTCAGCTGTGATAGCCAGGACTCCCCCAGAGCCAAGACCTTCTCCAGAAGGCGATCCTTCCCCACCACCACCTCCAGTGTCATCCCTGGTCCCTGACACTCCTCCGGACACCCCTCCTGCTATGAAGAATGTCCCTAGTCCTAAGCAGCTTTCACTGGAACCAGAGAGCCCCCCAGACCAGGTCAGGCCTAGGCCAGCTCCCCCGCAGGAAGAGTCTCCTTCCTCAGAAGCAAAGAACAGGGGGCCCACCCCACCAGCCATGGGCCCACGAGATGCCAGGCCTCCACGAAGGAGCAGTCAGCCATCCCCAACAGCAGTGCCAGCCTCCGACAGCCCTCCCACCAAACAAGGTATGTGTGATGTCCTCCGTCCTGTGCCAAACCCCTCAGCTCAGGGTCCCAGCCCTGGATGGTGCCACTTGAGAGAATCCCTTTTGCCCTGGAGGAGGTGGGAAAGGGTGCAGGTGAGGCCTGGAGGGAGAACCTCGATGCTGACTCCTGTTGGAGGGGAACCTTTTGACCTGTATGTTCTTGTTCCCTCTCCTAAGATGTAAAGAAGGCAAGAGAGAGACACAAACTGGCAAAGGAACGGCGAGAAGAGCGGGCCAAATACCTAGGTGAGTGAGAAGCATCATTTCATCATCGTCATCATCACCATCAACATCCTATTAATAACACGAACACTTCTGGAACACTTAATTATGTGCACTGTACCAAAAGCAGTACATGCATTATCTCATTTTATCCTCAACCCATTTTGAGGAGGAAACAGAAGCTCAGAAAGATGAAGTCATTTTCATCTTTTATCTCTGTGGCCCAAGCCACAGAACTAGTAGAATAGCTGAGATTCAGACCCAGAAACTGCATCTCACCCCAGATCCCATGCACTTAATCACAGCATGTGGACATCTGTGCAGTAGGCCCCCAGGTCAGACGGAGCACTCACACGGAAGCACCCATTTCTCCTTTAGCCCTGAGAGCCCATGAGAACAATGGGGGAGACACAGACCTCCCCTGAGGCTGTCTTCAGGAGGCCCTTAAATATGCGGGGAGTGTCTGAGAGTGGAAGCTCCAGCTCAGCCAACAGGAGAAAGATCCACCCTCTGCTGGAGTAGCAGCAATGACCACTAGGGAGTAGATGCACTTGGCCCAGGCACCCTGCAGAACCCTTCACAGTCCCTGGGCTCCTCTTCCTGCAGCGGCCAAGAAGGCAGTGTGGCTGGAGAAGGAGGAGAAGGCCAAGGCGCTGCGGGAGAAGCAGCTACAGGAGCGCCGACGGCGGCTGGAGGAGCAGCGACTTAAAGCTGAGCAACGGCGTGCAGCCCTGGAGGAACGGCAGCGGCAGAAGCTTGAGAAAAACAAGGTGTGGGATGGGTCTGCGTGGATCTGTGTGCACATGGTTCACATGTCTGCATACTGGTGAAGTGTGTAGCCCATCCGTGTTCACCCATGTTCATGCTTGTGCATTATCTGTGTCCATGCTATGTTCACATCTACAGTTGTAACCCTGTGTTACTGTATCTGGGCATCTGTGCAACTGCAGACACCTTTGCTCCCGAATGTGCCACCGTAGGCCCCTGTAATCGCACACTGTCAGCACCTGTGTTTGTATTCGTCCCCTGGGTATCTGTTTGTGTGTATGAAGATATGTGTCTGTGTGAGTGTGCCTAGCTCCGTCATATAGGTAAAGGCCTGACTTGAGCATTGGTGAGGAAATGAAGGAAATGGTGGCTTGGCCCTACCCAGAGGCTCAGGCTGAAGGGAAAAAATAGCCCCAAGGCCAGGACCCTCAGTGACAGGGGACATGGCCTTGCCCAAGAGCCCCAGGTAGCGGGAGTCACCCCCATCCTCAGAGAAGCAACTCCTACACCCAGGAAATGACTCAAGAACAGTGAAAAGCTCCCCAAGAACAAGTCAAAAAGGATCTGTTGCACATGGTCCTTAATCATAGCAAGGACTTGGTAACCTTGGTTACCTGCAGTGAGTCAGGAAAAGCTTCCGGGGGAAGAGAGGGAGCGAGGCATTGTCACAGGAGGAAAAAGCGCCTCTATCCCAGGTTTGATTAATGTTATGAGCCCAGACCTCTCTCCTCTCCCCACCTCCCCCCAGGAGCGCTATGAAGCAGCCATCCAGCGGTCGGTGAAGAAGACATGGGCCGAAATTCGACAGCAGCGCTGGTCCTGGGCTGGAGCCCTGCACCATAGCTCCCCAGGACATAAGACCAGTGAGTGGGCTGGAGGGGCTGGGGGCTGGGTGAGCAAGGCTGGGATCTGGCAAGTGGGGAAAGGGAACAACCTTCCTACAAGGAGTTGACAGCTCCCTGCAGCAGGTGTGCCTTGCTTCATGTGACTTGTGTCTTCTAGAATGGTCTGTAAACCAAACTGTCCCTTCCCAAGGACTTCCACTGTCAAATCAGAGATGGATCCTCTCTATTTGGTTTGCTCTTCAAACCTCTGTCATTTTAAGAGTAGCCTTCTTTGCTCCTGTCAATTATTATTAGTTGTTGATACATAAAAGAGGATTTTAATGCCCTGCAGACACTGGATATTTAAAGAAAACTGTCACCCCCTGTCTTGAAAGGTAGATTTTTGTCTCTGAGTTTTCTTCACATAGGGCCATCATGGATTTGGGTCTGATTCTTTGCTGGCATGTATGTACCACTGTGTTTGGATGTCTTTATGCAATGGCAAGGTTCAGTATTTCCAGCTGTATCTCTTTTGGTGTATGTGCCCATGGATCCGTGCATTGTGTTTTTTCCTTTGTGTTTGCCTTGGTGTATTTGTGGCCTTGTGTACCTCAGTGAGGGCTCTTAAGTCAGACAGACTTGGGTTCCAGCTCTGGTACTTGCAGTGTGACCTATAACTTCTTGACATTTCACTTTCTTCATTTGTAAAACGGGGATAACAATACTATTTGCCCCAGGATGTAGATAGATGTTTAGAAGATGAAATGAGGTCACACATGTGGTTCCCAGTACAGTGCCTGGCACATGGTAAACATCAACAAATGTTAACTGCTACAAATGTCACGATCAGGTGGCTTTGATGTGTTTGTGCTTTGTGTGCATCTGGGTCTGACACACTATCTGTTAGTGTTTGTGTTTCTGTATCTGTGCATGTCTGCACACCTGTGTGCATGCATAAGCATCAGCCACTCTATGCTATGTCTGCATGTCTCTGTCTTTGTGTGTCTGTATGAATATGTGGATTTGTGCAAGTGACTGTGGCTGTGTGGGTTCTGTTTAGGAACGTCTTTGCATTTGTCACAGTACGTAGGTGTTGTATCCATAGTGCCTTGGCTGGGCAGTGTCAGCAAGTGCCAATGCTGGGTGGTTGTGGGGAGGGGTGGCAAGGCCCAGCCCTAGGGAATGGCTTCCTTTGGTCTGGCCAGGAAGGCTGTAGTTTCTCTAGTTTTACTCATCTCTTTCCCCTGTTCCTTGTCCGTCGGCTCCCCCAACCCAGATTGTCTCTGGTCACCTACCCTGCAACCCTCCCTCTCCCAAGGTCAAGGCTGTATCCTCCTCTTAGCCTGCCCATTCCTCCCCTTCCCAACCCTGCCCTCGGAGCATCCTGCATGGAAGGCCTCAGTGCCCCCCCTGGCTCCTGTCCGGCCCGGCCCTAATGCCGTGTCTTTTCCCCTCCAGGTGGGAGCAGGTGCTCCGTGTCGGCAGTAAACCTGCCCAAACACGTGGACTCTATAATCAACAAGCGGCTCTCAAAGTCCTCTGCCACGCTCTGGAACTCCCCCAGTAGAAGTAAGAGAAGGCCCAGCCCTTCCCTCTCCAGAGCCCCCTGTAGCTCCCACCAGGCCTCCTCCAGAGCTCAGCAAGAACACCAGTTCCCTGGAGCTCTCACATACTGTAGAGCCCCATCCCCATTCTACCCTACCCTGAACTCTGTGCCCCTCGGGGGAGCCGGCATTCAGGTTTGGACCCTGAGGACAGAGTTGTGCCCTGTAGGAGAGGAGAAAAGAGACAAAGGACAATGCCCCAGAGGGCAGAAAGCCTGGCAGGGGCCTCAAGAGCAAGTTGGAGGTGGTGTCTGGGGGTGGAATGGGCAGGCAGCCTTATCTCCAACCACAGCCAGCTGGCCTGAGCCAACCTTCGGCAGGTGGCACTGCCCCCATGTGCCAGACTGCCCTGGGTGCTGTGCAGTGGGGGTGGGGGTCCCCTTAGTCTGACTCTACCCTGGAGGGCCCATGCAATCCTGCCCTCTCTGCCTTCAGAGCCCCAGCCATGGCCTTGGCTGGTTCCAAAATTGTGGCCAACCAGGGTGGCACAGCCCCTGCATTCCCACCATGCCCTGGTGCTCACATGTGAAGGAGCCATGGTAGGAGTTATTTATAAGTTTCTCTAGCTTGTGTTTGGTTGCTCTGTTGCCTAGCGACCAAATCAGCTGCTGCACCAACCCCACCTGACTGAAGCTTAAAAATAGCCCAGCAGCTGAGGGGACAGAGCAGGCAGGCACCCTAGCAGCCTCTCCCTGGCATGGGACTCCTAAAAGCTGGGTGAAAGAAGCACAAGGACCCTCACTGTCCCAAGTCCCTGGGAGCATGCCTCCTCCAGGCCAGCCCTCTGAGAGCAGCAGGGGCAGGGCCCTACACTGGAACATGGGAGAAGGCAATTGGGTCTTCCCCCAGTACTGGATGGCGCCTTCCTATATGCACAGTTCAGAGAGCCCTTTCACCTGGGAGAGTGGTAGCCGAGGACCCCCAACCACGCAGGATGTTGCCCTGGGAAGTGTCTTGTTGCGTGGGTCTGCACTGGAGGTCCAGATCTCAGGGGGAACAAGTGTGGCCCCCGCATGACTGGGGGGAGAGTCCTCCCGGGTGAGAATCGTGGGCTTGACACGGGGATGGTACCTGGTCTGCCCCTGTCTCCGCCTGCCCCCTGCTGCCCCCGCGGTGACCGGCTTCGCCTGGCGTTCTCCCCTCAGATCGCAGCCTGCAGCTGAGCGCATGGGAGAGCAGCATCGTGGATCGTCTGATGACTCCCACCCTCTCCTTTCTGGCGCGGAGTCGCAGCGCTGTCACACTGCCCCGCAACGGCCGGGACCAGGGTAGGGGCTGCGACCCTGGGAGAGCATCCACGCGGGGCCGGGCAGGGGCCAGCCTGGCGCCTGGGCCGCACCCCGACCGCACTCATCCCTC